CATAAAGGAGGGGAATGGCGCCAGTCCCCCCTGGCCCAGGTGTGCCAGGTGCTAAGGGCGGGAGATAAGGTGGGCGAGGCGGGCAGGGAGGGGCATGGCACGGCATGGGCACGCAGCCCTGAGTCAGGGTTCCTACTGGTGGCCAGGATGGGGTGAGTCACCGTGGCCCCCCCACCCTGGGGGTGTTGCAACCACCCAGGCGCTGGCCACAAACTGCTGCTCGCCCTGGCTGGGGGGGCATCGGGCTGCCTACCTGGGGGGCCAGGTGGGGAGGTGCTGGCCTTTGGGGAAGATGGGCTAACCTCCATCCATCCATCCATCCATCCATCCATCCATCTCCAAGCTCCACCCTTGCCTTGGTCAGTGGCACCCTGACCAGTGTCACCAGTGAGGGGACATGGCCTCATCCCAGCTCCTCTTCCAATGGCAGGATGGGCAACCCCATCTCCTGCATCACGTCCTGACACAGAGCAGCACCCTGACCTGCCAGAGCATGGCATGCCATGGCCACATGCTTGCCCAGGACAGATGTGGCCAAGGGCATGTGGCCTCTGTGTGTCACCTCTGGCCATCCCAATGTGCCAAGGAGATGGATGAGGCACAGGCGGAAAGGAAGGAAAGGAAGGAAGGAAGGAAGGAAGGAAGGAAGGAAGGAAGGAAGGAAGGAAGGAAGGAAGGAAGGAAGGAAGGAAGGCAAGGCTCTGCCAGCCACCAGCCTGGGACAGGCCGCTCACCTACAGCTGGGCCTGCTCGCTGGCCCCAGGGTGAGCTGGCTCTGGAGTTGCTGGCCCTGCAGCACAGTCACGGGAACCCCTTGGAGGGCAGCCAGACCCCCTGGGTCCCACTGTGCTGCACAGCCCCAAGGGCCCCCCCAGCTGGTGGCACCTCCTACTCAATATGCAGGGTTCATGTCCTCACAGCACCTCGGGGACTGAGCATCACCAGTGGCACAGGCTGGCCCCCAGTGCTCCATCCTCGCACCAGGGTGGTGCTGGTCCTGGTGGGGTCACCTGGCAAGGACAGTGCCAGCCCACAGCCCCCCCTCCACACCCTCCAAAATAGCCCGGCTTCCGCCCCCACGGCAGCTGCCTGCTGCCAGCTCCCCGCTGCCCACGGCTGATCCCGGGGAGGGAAGGGGGGCAGGCGATTCTAATCCCCCCCAGCCCCCCCGAGCCCACACAGCACTGACAGCGAGGCCATGCCCGCCGCAGCCACTCCAACCCACAGAGCGCCACTGAGGAGACCCCAGCCAGCCCTGCAGCAAGGGGAGGGCAATGCCCCATGGCTCCACATGCAGCAGGCATGGGCAGCCTCTGTGGAGCCCCTCTGTGGGGCATGGGCTGTCCCCAGAGCCCACCGTGATGACTGCACCACACCAGCTGCCTTGTGCCACCCAGGCAGGGCAGAAGGGCCTCTTCCCTTCTCTTCCTTGGCCCTGCAGTGGGGCTGATAATCCTCCTGTCCACCCTTGCTATGGCTCCAAGCCCTGTGCCTTGATGCTTGCCCAGGGGAGGGGAATCAAAGCAAAACTGCTGGGGTGTCACTGTACCAATGAATGCCAGCCAGCACAGCCACATTCTCCACCCTGGTGTTCAGTGTAGGCAGTGCCTGGCACCCACCCTGCCCCAGACTCAGTGCCTGGCAGCAGGACCCCCTTACCCACTCCCACGCCAGCTGATGCCCACGGGGCCTGGGGACATGACAGAGTACAACCAAGGCTGCCGGGAGAGGCCAGAGCTCGCCTGACCTACTTCTCCTTCCGCATCACCTGCTTTCATTTTCCCTCACCCGGGCTGGTCCCCCTGCCTGCCCAGGGCTCCACCAAGTCATGCCAGAAGCTCTGGGGACACAAGTCACCCAGGCACCATGGCTCCCACTGCACCATCCTGCATGTCAACCGACCTCCCCAGCGCTGGGCACGCAGCATGCCCGGGTGCACTGAAGGTCACTGGCCACAGCCCCGGAGCCCCGGCATCACCACCTCCCCTGCCTGCATGGCTACCCAAGCGCCATCTTCCTGGCACGAAGCGAGTTAGACGGGTCTCAGCCCAGCCCCTCACCAGGTCCTCTGACCGCCCTGGGGCTTGCTGGGGTGTGGACATGCAGCTCTCGGGGCATGTCAGGGACGCCAGTGCTGCCACGGGGAGCCAGGCGGGCGCCAATCCTCCAGACGGGGCGGCCGCTCCCACCGGCACCCTGCCTGCTCCCGCCGTGGAGTTACCATGGGAAGGCAGCGGTGGTGGCGCAGGGGGAGCGCAGGCTCCCGGGGGCTCCCGCCAGCAGCCCACACGCTGCCAGGAGAGATTTCTCCTTGGTTTCATCATCCGCTGCCTGCCCTGAAGGAGAAGTTCCTGCTTCACGCACGGAGCAGCAGCCGCCCCTCGAGGGCTGGGGTGCAGCGGGGGCCGCGCGGGTCCCGCAGCCCCGCCGTGCCCCCCCCGCCCCCGTGTGCTCAGGCCTGTCGCGCTCGTGCCACGTGTGCACTGAGGGTGCACGGCAGCAGCTGGCAGAGCCGCGCTGCCACAGCCCCGGGCTCAGCGCCGCAGCGCTGGGGGCAGCCTGCGCCCAGGCAGGGGGTCTCGGAGGGTCCCCAGGACCCGACACGGGTATGCCCCCCCACACAGCTGTCACCTCCCTACGCTCACCTCCGCACCCATCCCCGGCAGACGCTCCTAGCCCTGCTGCCCCACTCTCTCTCTGCTGTGCCAGAGTTTCCCCTTCTCCATGCACCCACTTTTAAGTTCCCGAGCTCAGTCCCTCCCTCCCTCCCAGCAGCAGCATCACCACCGAAGCCTTGAGTGGCTGCAGCTGCCGCGTGCCCGGGCAGTGCCGGGGATCCCAGGCTGCCCCCCGCGCCTGCCAGGCTGTGGTGGGGGAAACCGAGGTACAGTGCGACTCACCCCACGACAAAACTGGCACTGAATCCCCTCGCCAAGTGAACGCAGCCACGGATCGAGGGCGGCTGTGGCCCAAGACGTGGATCTGCTCCGGCGGGAGGGTAAATACCGCACCCCGCCCCGGGCAAACAGCGGCCGGGGGCAGCCAGCCAGGGGGACGAGGACAGGTACGGCAGGGCTGGGCGCACGGGGCAGAGTCCACCGGTGCTTGGCAGGTGCTACCATGACACCGATCCCGGGGGACCACTGCACAGCCGAGCCGAGGCACCCACTGCTGCTGCCAGTGTGCCAGGGCCGGGGCTCACCAGCGTGGCACAGCGTGCTGGGACACTGGGATACCTTCCAACTCTACCAATACCGGTGCAGAAGGGGCTCTCTGAGTTGCCTTCCTCCTGCAACGGTGCCGTCCCTACCCGGTGCGCCAGGCATGCCGCCAAGCTGCTCACCAGGTTAGGAAGGGGGGGTGGCAGAACCCAGTCACCCGTGGGAGACCTGCGGGGGACCCTGGCTGGATGGAGCAGCACCGCAACAGGACCACAGCGGAGCCTTGGCAGCCGCCCCGGCACGCAGCGGGGACCTGCCGATGTCACAGATTTCCCGCAGCCCCGTGCGCAGGGACCGGGAACAGCCCACGAGTGACACCCCCCGCCCCACGGGCGACGTGTCCACCGGCTCCGGCGGCGGGCGGGGACAGAGGGGCCGTGCAGTGATCGTGTGCCAACCGTGCCCACCCGCCGCCCGCAGCATCCCAAATCAGCGCGACTCACCGCAACCGGGCGGCAAAAGCTGTCGCCGCACCGGTCCCCGTCCCGATCCCGCTGCCGGTGGGTCGGTACCTCCGCGCAACCCCGCCGGTAGGTCCGTCCGCTCCCACCCACTGCCGCTCACCTGCGCACCCCGCCCGAGCCACAGACCGGTCCCGGAGCCACGGCCCCGCCTCCGCCTTCACCTGCCGCCGCCGCGCCCCGCCCGCCCCCCGGCCACTGCTGCTGCCGCCGCCGCCGCCGCCGCCGCCGCCGGGGCTCCAGGAAGCGCCCGCCCCCGCCTCCTCATTGGGCAGCGCGCCGGCGGTCACGCGTCCGATTGGTGGGCTGCCCCGCCCATCAGCCCCGCCCCACCCCCTCGGGAGGGCGGGGGTCTTGCAGGCCCCCCGGGACCAGGGTGCGCGGGTGGGGGGCGGCTGAGTCAGAGGCGGTTAACGGGATCGGGGCGGGGGTCGGCCCCCGGCCTGGGCAGGAGAGCATGGGACGGCCCCGCTGCGGCCCCCACCGGCGCCGAGTGCGGTGCCAGGCGCCGAGCGCGCCCCGCCCGCTGCGGCCGCCGAGTGCCGGGGCCGGCACGGCACTGCCCGCTCCGCCCCGCGGACACGGGGGGCGGGGAACCGGGCACGGGGGGGTAAGAACCGAGAAGTGTGCACCGAGGGAGAGTTTCGAGTGCCGGGCACGGGAAACCGTGCGTAGGGTGAGGTACGGGGGGTGGAGAGCTGGGCTCGGGGAACCGGGCACCGAAGAGCGGGCACCGGGGTACTGGAGTGCCGGGCACGGGGCGATGGAGAGCTGGACACGGAGAACGTGGCACCGCGGGGTGCCGGGCAGGCGGGGGCGCGGCGCAGGGAGCAGCCCCCTGTTCTCGGCGGCGCTGGAGCGGGGCGCGGCGGCCCCCAGCGGGGTGGCTCCTCCGCAGGTGCCTGGGCGCGGGCCCCGCGCAACCTGTTTGGCCGCTGCCGGCTCAGGGAGGCAGCGGCGGCCCCGGGGCTCACCTCGGCTCACCCCGGCCCCCCCGCGCCTGGCTCCGAGCGCGGCCACTGCCCGGCGCTAGCGGAAAGTGTGAGGAGCCACCGCCGCTCCGGGGCTGCCAAGGCAAACACGGCCCCGCGCAGACGTTATGTCAGTGGGCGGGGGGGCCGCTCCGGGGCCGAGAACGGGACCCCCCACCCCTTCGCCAAGCCCCGGTACCGGGCACCTGCCGCCGCGCCTCGCCCAGCCACCCGCTTCGCTCCCCCCAGCTCCGTCCGTCTGACCGTGCACCTGCATCCCCGTCCAGGGTACCGGCCCGCCCGGCTCGGGGCTTCCGCGGGGCGGAGGGGGGAACCCGCAGAACTACCTCACCCTCCGCACGGCTGCCACCGACCCCCGGCTCCATCGCTCCCCGCCCGTCCCCTCGGGCTACGGTTCGCCATCGCCGCTGCGCTCTGCCACTGCCTGCGGCTGTGCTCCCGGTGTCTCTCTCTCCCTGCTTCTCCCGAGGCGACGCCGACGGTGCGGTCGCACTCACCTCTCTCGGCGGGGCCAAGACCGGGGCCGGGCGGGGGCCGCGGGCTCAGCCGGGCCGGCGGCGTGGCAGGAAGGACCGGGTGGTCATCGCGGTCCGCGGCAGCTGCCTGCAGAGGGCACTGCTGGCTCCCGGAGCCGAGCCCCGTGGGCGGCACCGATACGCGTAGGGACACGGGGGTCTCTTGGTGCCGGTGGCACCGTTTATTTAGGTTAAAAACAGCAGACACGACTCGGGCAATCCGGGATCCCCTCGGCTGCACTTGCTCGGGGCTCCCCCATGCTGCCAGAACGGTTGAAGGACCCCCCGGGCCAGGGACCTCGCTTGGGTAACCCTGAACCGGTCCCCACCCCAGGGGTGCTCACCTGCTCCCCCCTCATTGCACCTGCCCTGCACCTTTCCAGATGTTCTAACCTGCCCCACACCTATCCAGATGTTCTAACCTGTCCCACACTCCAGCTGTGCTCACCTGCCCCATCTCCCCCAGCCGTACCAGTTCACTCTCATTTCCCTTGTCTGCAGTGACACCAAGCCCACAGCTCCCCCTCCTCCCCACTCCTCTCACCTCCCTTCTCTCCTGCTCCCCCTGTCCTCACCTGCCCTGTTGCCACCCCCCAGGCCTGGCCCTGACAATGGGGACTTCTGCCTCATGCTCTGCTTTTTTTATAAAAATAGATAAATTATTATAAATTTAAACATTAAAATAATATTAAAAAAATATTAAATAGTGCCCTGTGTCACTGAGAGCCCCATGACTGGGAGAAGCAGGTGCTGGCAAGGTGGTGAACCATGCAAGAGGGGCACTGCATCCAGTCAGCACTGAGGCACAGAGTCCCCAGAGCCAGGATGAGCCTGCTGCGACACAGCCCTGGAAGACACAGGCTGAGGAACAGTAGAAGGGCCCCCCAGTTTGTGAACCTGCTTTGGGGGAGCTCCCTGGTACCCCCCCCCCCCCCCCCCCCCCCAAAAAAAAAACCCAATCAGCGTGGCTGGTTCAGCAGGACCTCAAGCCAACAGGGGCAGGAGGTGATGAACTGCCGAGAGTAGCAGGGTCCCCAGCCCTTGGCAAAGCTGATGCGGATGCTGTGGGGGTCACAGGGTCCCTCCCCAGGTAGCTGCCAGCCCCCTCTGTCCCCTGCCCACTCATAATCGAACACCTTTGCCGAGTAGCCAGGCAGCACCTTGAGGACAGTGAGCCCGCAGGCACCGGGGGGGCTCAGGGTGGGCGAGCTGACGAAGATGGGGTGCTCGCTGCGGTTGTACGCCCAGACGCCGCCTGGCTCCTGGCTCAGCAGCAGCCCCCGGCCGATCTTGCCCCGTGCCCGCCGGACAGCACAGCTGCGGTAGGCGGCAGGCAGCTGGGCCAGGCAGAAGCCACTGCCCCAGGGCAGCTCGCAGAAGACATTCACTGATGCCTCGTGCACGGCGTAGAGGCGGCCCACGCGCGTCCGGTACTCCCAGTAAGCCAGTTTGCACCAACAGCCATCCTTGATGGTGCTCCATGAGAGACTGGTGTCTGGCAGGGGAGAGCAGAGCTGTCACCACCCGGACGTGACTGAGCCAAGCAGCTGGACGGGCCAAGGGGAGTGGGCACAGAGGGCATATGAGGACAGATGGATGGACGTGGCCGCACCAGGGATGCCTCAGCACAGAGTCCCGCGCTGGGTGTGAGCCTCTGGAGCTGTTCCCAGTCCGCAAGTACCGTGGTGAAGGGGTGGGGGAGGGCTGTGCGGGGGGCTGGTCCTGAGTGCAGGGGAAGGTGGGGCAGTGGCAGCTGGTGGCCTTGGTGGCCAGCAGCCAGGCGGGAGCTGGGGCTGTGTGCGTCAAGGCACATTGTGTGTGTCCCCATAGGCAGCGCTTCCTCCAGCAGGGAGCCTGGTGCTGCCAAAAATAACAGGAGCTTCAGTGGCGGGGGGGGCGTCTGGGCCCAGACTGCTCCCCCAGCAGGAACCCCTCATCCCCTGTCGGAGCCTTTTCCTCCTGCTGGGAGTGACTCTTGGCTCCATTCCCTGATTTTCATGTTCTGTCCCCTCCAGTCTCTGCTTCTGACTCAGGGGTTCAGCCCTGCCCAGTGCCCTCCTGCCTGCTGGGTGTGGCAGAGGGTTGTGGAGGGTGGTGGGCCCATCTTACCGCACCAGTCCCCACCGTTGTAGCTGAACTCCATGAGCTGGGGCTCATCTGGCCAGGACGGACCACGGGATGCCTTCAAGTAAGGGGGTGGCGGGGTTTCTGCAGGGGAGAGAGAAGGAAATAAAAGGCTGGGAGTGCATCCTGCCCCCCTGAAGCCCTGAGCCAGCCCCAGAGAGCAGGGGTCAGAGCCTGGGTGGGTGAGGCAGCCCCCAGTGTTGCCGCTAGCACTCACCAGCTACAGCCAGGCGGCTGAAATGATGGGGGTTGCAGCACAGCCCAGCCAAGTCCCCGCAGGCCCCCTGGCCCCCAGCACAGTAGCAGAGGTGCTTGAGCTCATGGGACTGGTGGAGGTCAGGCCAGCGGAAGAGGCGACAGAGCAGGACTTGAGGGGGGAGTCCCTGCTTGACCCCTCGTGGGTCCCCCCGTGGTGCCAAAACGCAGCCAGACTCCCAGGCGCCCCGGCTCTCCACCACCTGCACCAGCAGCTCCAGCTCCTCATCCTTCAGCTTCTTGAAGAGGGCATGCACCGCTGGTTTGAGGGCACCGGGGCCATCCTCGGGGCTGGCTGCTGCACAGCGCTGCCGCCACAGCCTCCGCACCAGCCCAGCACGGCGTGAACGGAACATGGGGTGGTCGTGGGGACCACCTGCAGGATGGAGACAGGCATCACCCCCCGTGCCCTCAGAGAGCTGTGCCTCCAGGGGGATCCCAATGGGGACCCTGTGCATCTTCCTCTGTCCACCCAGATCCCTGGCAAGGCTGCTTTGCCTGGATTTGCTGCTGTCATCCCCACTATGAGGGCACGGTGCTGCTTCAAGGCGTACTGGCATCCCCAAGGTCACATCAGACGTGAGCCCAAAAACAACCCTCACTGCTGGAGAACCTGCCTGTGCTCAGACAGCGAGGGCAGGGGTCCATATGCTCCTGCCCACAGCACCCACCCGCTCCCCTCTCACCCCCCTATTGTGGGGCTGGGAAAGGGGTCCCTGCAGAAGAGGGTCTCACTCACGGTGGGCGGTGGAGGTGGGTGAGAGGCTTCAGGGCACTGCATGGGGCTGTGCTCTCAGGGCGGCCGGCACTGCTCTGCCCGTCACGCGTCACTGCCTGGACTTTTTCCTGTGCTGGGACACTCTCCCCTCCCCCGGACCTTCCCGTTTGGGGAATTCATTGATTTCCCTCATCCCAGCCAGCCTTGGGGCTGAGCCACCGCCAGGCCCACCACGTCAGGGCTACCACACCAGGACACGGCAGGCACAAGATGCGTGGGCTCCAGCGGTCAGGGATGCCCAGCACCATGCTACCAAGGCAGCCAGGTACAGCCAGGAGCCCAAAAAGCACCACAGACACCAGGGCACAAGCACAGGGCAGGGTCCAGCTGAGTAGCTGATCTGGGCAGGGGGAGGCCATGAGGCACAGCAGCAGGGCACCATCTTGGCAGACCCCATCCCTACTCGTGTCTTCACAGGGACCATTGCAAGGACCACCTAAGCCCCTCATGGCATCTTGGGCAAGGGTTTCTGTTGCCCCTCAGTTCTTGACCTAGGCAGGGCCCCCCCGCGGGCAGTGGGTGAGGGTGGGAGCCTGCTCCACAACAAAGGAGCTAATGTAAACGGGACCCTTATCCCGCGCCGGGCCAGGCTTCCTGCTCCTGACTTCCCGCCGAGATAAGGGAGGCCACACTGGCGCCAGTGCTGCTGCCGAGGACAGGGCATGCAGAGCTTCCCCTGTGCTGGGGCCAGGCACCAGCACAGGCAGCAATGGGGCAGGGTGGGCTCACAGACCCACAGCCACCCCCACAGCCATGCTCTGGTGCCACCAGCCATGACCTTTGCTGCAGCTCCCAGCCAGGCTGGGCCCATTGGAGATATTTTGCTCTAGCTGCTTCCCACAGACTGGAACAGGAAATGGCCAGGAGTGGGGGAGCAGGCAGGCGATGCAGGCACAACCCCAGCCCCCACTCTTGCCCCTTGGCCCCAAGGGACGTGGGGACCCTCAGTCCTGGACAGGGGCAAGGGGTGTGCTGGAGTGTCTTAGTGCAACCCAGGGCTAGGATCGGGAGGTTTGGGGGAGACAACACACACACAGACATTCCCAGAGCTCTGCCCAAACAGACGCAGCCAGTCAGGCACTGCACAGGTTTATTGGGGTCTCTGATCAGGGGGAGCACAGGCTGGAGCAGAGTCTCAGCACCAGAGGTCCGTCAGCTTCATCAGCACAGGGCAACAGGGACAGTCCTGGGGAGGGGAGAGGCACAGGGGGTAACAACCCACTGACCAGTACCAAGGCCACACCCTCTCAACCCCCAGAACTGCCACAGCCAGGCTGTCTCCCCTCAAGCACCACAGCCAGGCCCCTTTCACTCCAGGAGCACCATGGTTGGTTTCTGCCTCCCCCACACACCACTGCCAGGCCCCTGTCACATTCCAAGCACCATGTCATGTCAAGCTGCAGGCAGGTCACTCACCCACAGCACCAGGGCAGGCAGGGGCTGACAGGGTCCTGTGACACTGGGGGGGGCCTTCCCTAGTCCAGCAGCTCACGGATGCACCAGCTGCAGAGAAGGAGGTAGATGCATTTCCACAGAAGCCGCAGCAACCAGGAGACCAGGTGCAGCCCAAGGGAGGTGGCAGTGGGTGCTGGCAGTGCCAGTACCCGTGCCACTTGATGGGGAGCACCCTGCAGACAGGCTGCCATGGTCCAGAAGAGGTGTGTGGCCCATGAGGAATCAGCAGGATCTGACATGGTGGGAGAGACAGCAGTGCTGACGTGTGGGGCCCTGGCAAGCACTGGAACCTGCTACATTCTCTGCATTTCCAAAAATCCTACAACAGTGGGTGCAGGGAGGTGGCACAACCTGGGGACCCTTTTGTTCCTCCCACTCCTGCCCCATGGAGCCCTCAGGGCTCAACAAGACCACGTGCCAGTGCAGTGCAGACTGCAGCAGGTTTATTTAGTGCTGACAGGCAGCAACTTTATTCAGTCACTCCCAGCAGCATTCCAGTGGAGGCTCCGAGAGCATGGCCTTCAGCAGCGGGAGGTGCGCTCTTCTTCCTCATTCTCCAGCTCATAGGCAGGCCGGTAGCTCTCCCGGCCCCGCGCATCGCTACAGCGTAGGGCTGGGTTCTTCTGTGTGTTGGTCATGCTCCCCAGGGACGTGTAGCTGTGGAGGGAAGAAGCAGCTGCAGGACTGCACCGAGGGCCACTGGCCGTGCATGTGAGAAGGGCAGCACTGGGCACTCACCCCTTGTCATAGAGGATACAGTAGGGGACAAAGAGCTTGCGCAGGAATTCCCAGATGTCCCGGTAGGTCCAGTCCTGCAGGCAGAATTGGGCAGGGATTGAGGCAGAGGCAAAAGGCTGCTTGCTCCCTTGCCTCCCAGGGAAGCAAACCAGACCTTCCTGGAGATCACCTGGGAGAGCCAGATGGTCATCAGAGCACCACTGCTGCTCCCAGCACCTCCCCAAACACAGGGCAACCCCCCAGCAGGCAAGAACGAGCCCTGCCCAACAGCACCAGCAGCCTCACTGCAGCAAGGGGCACCAGAGCTGCACAGAGGAGCAGCAAATACTCTGGGAGAGTGAGAATTGTGAGAGAAGCTGTCCAGGATGGGGGTGGATCACTGCTGGTTCCCAGCCCCATCAAGTCCCCCTGCCAGGCCCTGTGGCAAATGCTCCAGCCCCAAAGCAAGTGGAGGCCACGTACCAGCAAGGGGTTCACCCGCATGTAAGGGGGCCAGTCGGGGTCTGTCACACACATGGGGGTCAGGGTGCGTGAGTAAGGGTCCGTGCGGCGTGTTCCCATCAGGACAGCCTCCAGCTGCGGCTGCTGCTCCTTCAGCTGGGCCAGAGCCTCCCGGATGGAGCCCTCCACAGTGCAGAGCTGGACCCCGTACCTGCACAGGCAGGTGGGCAGCTGTCTGCAGGCTGCAAGCAGCACTGCACAGCCTCTGGGCAGCAGCCCACCCCACTCTGCCTCCTACCTCTGGACTGTTGCCTGAATGAACTGCTCCATTTCAGGGAACGGGGACACAATGCGAATGTAGAGCACCTGCAGCCTCTCCTGCCTTGCTGGGAACCGCCTGCAGAGAGACCCAGTGCAGCTGGACTCTGACCAACTGGAGGCAAGGCAGCGTCCAGATCCGACCAGCTAGAGCCCAGGAATCCGCTCATTCCCCCAGGGTGGAGCCAGCAAGAGCCCCAGAGCCCTGGCCAGAGTCTGCAGGACCCCTCAGCCTTGCCCCAGCCTGGAGCCCCATGTGTGGGTACCTCTGCACAGCAGCATGGACGAGGTGCAGCAGGGCTGTGCAGTCCTTGCCCCCGTTGAAGCCCACGCAGAGCTGGACCAGGCTGTACTGGTCCAAAGCCTCCTCAATCGTCCGTAGGGCTGCTGCCACCTTCTGCCCCAGGGCCGAGCCTGCCAGGACAGGACAGTTGGTGCCTGCCCAGCTCATGTTCCCTTAGCATGGCCCCATGGCCTAGGGCACTTCACCCTCTGGACACACAGCAGAGGCATTGCTGGTACCACAGCCAACAGCCTGTTCAACCCAGAGATCTGGGCCACAGTGTGACAAGGATCATGAGGGCACTGGGGAACTACGGCACTGCAGCTACTGCTGCACACTGTGCTCTCAGACCCTGCCACCACCAGCCCTAACTGAGGTTACAGGTCCCATTCCCACCTGGGTGGCATGAAGCCCACTGCAGCTGCAGCACGCCTCAAGCCTCCCAGCACACCACAACAGGCAAGCTCTGCTCCCAGGCTGGTGTTCCCACTGCCCCAGGAGAAGCATGGAAGCACAGAGCTGTGCTGCAGCACCTCTTCCCAGTACCTGACTCAGCCAGGCCATAAACCTCCACAGCTGCTGGAGAGACACAGTCTTTCACCAACGGCACGGCAACACCCGGTGGCAGCTCCCTCATCAAGAAGCAATACGCTTCCTCCAGGTCCTGCTCTGACTCTGAGTCCAGGGTCAGCTTCACACGGTAGTAGTTGCTGGTCCAGTCTGGGTAGGAGCCCAAGCTGACGCGGCCTCGGAAGGTGGCATCAGCCCTGTCCAGCACCGGTGTGATGAGCATCTCATCGGACGCCACGTAGATGGTGCGGGAGTGGAAGTGGGTCTGTTTGCTGTGAAAGAGGTGAGCAAGGCCATCCAGGGCACGCTCCATCAGTGCAGGGATGCCGGGGAAGATGTAGACGTTGCGTACACTGACCAGCGGGTACTTGAAGGTGCTGCCAGTGTGCCCGTCTGTGCCGTAGTTGAGGCGGGAGGACTCGGGGACGCGAGCCAGCTTCATCTCAGGGCACTGCTCCTCTGTCTTGCCAAAGAACTTGTGCACCAGGGCCACCAGCTCGGGATGGAGGACGACCCGCTCCCCAAAGGCCTTAGCCACGGCCTCGAAGGTCACATCGTCGTGCGTGGGGCCGATGCCCCCGGAAGTCAGCACGAAGGTGAAGCGAGCAGCAAAGGTGGCCACCTCGCTGGCGATGGCCTCCACGTCGTCGGGGACCACGGAGATCCGGGCGACACTCACGCCGAGAGCCCGCAGTCGCCGGCACATGAAGAAGGAGTTTGTATCCTGCGTGTAGCCCTGAGGGGACCGGAGACGCCCATGACGGCGGGGCGCCCCGACCCCAGGCACAGGCCCCAACCCGCCCCCCGCCCAGTCCCGCCACGGGCCGCACCTTGAGAATCTCGTCGCCGATGATGATGATGCCGGCGGTGCTGGCGGATCCCTGGGCCTCCGCTGCCGGGCCCGAAGCAGCCATGGGGCGACAGGCGGCAGCGCGCAGAGGCCCGCGCACCCGCCCCGCAGCGCGCAGCACCCCCCACATGGAGCCGCCCGGGCACCTCCGCACACCGCGACACCGCCCCGCGCGCTCACAGGCCGGCCCGCACGTCAGTCACACGGCCCCGCCAGCTCCCATTGGCCGAGAGGCGGGACCTGCGGGACGGAACCATCGCGGAACAGGTTGGAGGGGGTGCCGGTGCAGCTTCGCCTCCGTGGCCGTGCCCGGCGGGCCGGGGCACATGCCCTCTCCGGTGGGCGCGGGGAGGCTCCCTCCCCCCGAGACCCCGGGGAGCCTCCTCGGGAACCCGCGCGGGACAGACTCCGCGGTACCGGGACCCCTTCGCCCTCCAGCCCAGCTGCCCCCGGCACTGCAGACAGACAGCTCCCAAACATCACTTTATTGAAGCTTTGGAGGCATCGCAACGGGAAGAGCCGCCGGAACCAGGACCGAGCCGACAAAACGACGCCCAAGCAGCGTCGAGGGTCAGAGGGTGAAGCCCCCGAGAAATGCCGAGGAGAAGGAAGGTGTTTTCTCAGGGTGGAAGGACTGAGAGTTTCGGCAGACCAGGGGCCACTCACTTTTCTGGCTTCTTCGGCAACGGCCGTCGGAAGAGCAGGATGTGGGGCTCTGCGGGGCAAAAGAGGGGGTCAGGCCGGGCCGCCTGGGCGCCACCCGCTCCCCCGCGGGGCTCACCTGGCTCGTGGATCATGTAGTGAACCCAGCCCTGGCTCTGCTGCACCCCCAGGTTCCGCCACTCCGACTCCGACAGCAGGTGGGTCTTGGGCACCAGCTTGGCGATGTCCTTGGGCAGCATCACGTGCCTGCAGCCCCGCACCTCTCAGTCAACACCGGGGCACCCCCAACAACCCCTCATTGCCCAGGACGGAGATTCCCCACCGGAGAGCTGTTAACGGCACCAGCGCCGTGACCCGGCACGGAACCCTCACCGGGACCCCCCGAGTTACCAGGATAATTCCCCTCTCGCTTCGTCAGGGAGCCACGACTCGCCCACAGCTCCCCTCCCACTCGCGAGCCGTTAATACCCTCCCCACCCCACCGTTCTGCGCTACCGAAGCATTTCCCTCCCTCAGCCCAGTAAACCTTCACCGAGACCCCTGCATCTTTATCAAGCAGATGTTACCGGGACCCCTTCCCGCTGCGTACCGATACTCAAACTCCTCATCGTCGTACTTGTCGGAGTAGTAGATCTGTTTGTGCGCCATGACAGGCCCGCCGTGCCCTCCCTCGGCGGCCGTTGGCGCCCCCGCCCCCCGCGGCGCTTTCAAACACCGCCGCCTCGCGCGCCTATTGGCCGGCTCCGCGCCGGGGGCGGGGCGGGTCGGCTGCCCATTGGCCGGCGCGCTCGCGACGCGGCGGGGCCGCGAAGCCGCTTCCCGCGGGCCTGGCGCGGCCCGTGATTGGCTAGCTTGGGTCACGTGATATGGGCGCAGCGGGGCCACGCCGGAGGGGCGCGGGCC